GTAGCCTAGATTTAATTGAGATAATTTTTCTGCTCCACGCACAATATCTCAACATATTAAAGGCAGCTGCAGCTTTAGCCAGTCTGGTGTGGATCTCTCTATCCGGCTTTTGATCTCTAGTTAGGTTGTAGCCCAGATTTTTCCTGAGAGCATTTCTAAGGTCTGCCAAGTGGCTAGAAATGTTCTCCTGTTCATTCTGCATCTAAGCATGTATGTGTCGACGGAATTCAAGCAGGGGCCGATTTCATCAAGTAATCGCCCCCGTCCTTTGACAGATTTTTCGCTTCACTTCTCTACTAGAGAAGCAAACAGCGTAGAGACTTTCGACACTGTCGAATTTTTAATCTGTCAAAAATTTTCACTCGAAAATTGACAGTGTCGAAACACGCTGTCAAAAAATGTTTCTGTCGAACTGTGAAATTACCGTAAAAAGCCGCATTAATTTTTCTGCCAACAGGGGAAAATTTTTCATGTTCTATGGCCAAGATTTTCATCGGAACAAAATAATTTTCTACGGAAACAGAACCAATAAACGCTGGTTCCGCCCATCTCTAGTTGTTGTACGTATATGGAAAGATGGAAGAAAATAACCATAATAATACTGGACAGATAAATAAAACGAGATAAAAGCTTGGTATCTACGATTAGCTATGACTATGTTTGAATGCTGTATAAAATTTGTTAAATGACGTCAAGTCAGTTTATGTCAGTTATTTATCAAGTAGTTTATGCAAAGCAATACATTATTTAACACATTGTGATAAATCTCACTTGTCATTTTTCTGCGTTCGCCTATTTCCTATATTTTCTAAAAAAGTTATTAACTTTCCTGTTTTTCGAAGGAAAAAAATTTTCTCCTGTTCCTGTTTTTTGAACGTGGATAGTACGAATCCTGTCCTACCTTTAATTACCGCTTTTCGGTTTTGTGGTAGCCACTTTTCAGATTTGAATACAACTTATACTCAGTGTGCTACATCACTACTATTTCTAGACTTACCAAATGAATGGTGAATTGTCAAAATAGTTCCCATACATTTAAAGGGGAACCGCAACATTGTTCGCAATTCTCTGAACTAAATGCGAATTGTACCATGTTTAGCCTAGTTTTCGGTTTAGTATATAGTATTAGAATACAGAAAGATTGCTCGAAAGTTGTTCATTCGGTTTTCAAAATTTTGACTTTGTTCATTAACTGTTTGTCCGTGAAGTCAAATATGGAAAATCGGTTTCCGTTTAGCTTTGAACTACATTTAGGTGACATATCATGAATTTCGATAGATGATGGCTTGTAAATTTATCTTGACTATTTCTGAAGTAAACTAACATTCCCTGACAGTTTCAACCTGATCGGATATATTCTAATCTAAGTGGATTTATACCACAGCTGTGAGGAGGAGGCTTAATTAAAAAATTATATGTCTTTTGATTTCCTCAGAGTAGTTCGAAATCTCCTGACTATTTAGTTCTGTCTCATATTTAGCTGAAAAAAATTTTAGTTCATTCAGATCTTCCTGCGCTTCATCAGTGTATGGATTTGTTGGGCTTCGAACTCGAAGATATAGATCCTATCAACTTTGAATTGAATTGACTAATTGGAAAAGTTCATTCCCAATGATAGTCGGGGTTCTGCTGTTCGAACGTGAGAAAATCTCATTTCCTCAAATCTTCCAATAATGCATCATTCGTAAGTAAATCATGAGAGTTCGATGAACTAACTTAAAGTTTGTGTAGTTCGAGAAGGAACATATTCTATCTTTCGGAGAATGGTGAATGTCTCAGCAAGTGTAATGTCGTCTCAATAGTTTTCTGTGGAGATTATAGATGAAGTCAACAATTAAGTTCGCAATGACTTTATTAGCAATGCGGAATCAAATGAGAAAATACACAAAATATAGCCATATATCACCTGCAAGTCCCATAATAAAACGGTTATGGTGTAATACCGGAAACATACTGATTGATCTTCGACGATATACCAACATTTGGGCGAACGACATTTGAGCACAACGATAGTGGAAGTTCAAAGGCGCCGGTGTGGGTGAGTGTGAGTGTGAGTATCGATGAAGATTAAACTTATAATGATTACAGTTGGGTATGAGTAATATAGAAAAAGCTCTCACACCGCACGAAGTTTATTTAAAGCAAATTTTATCGTTATGCATCATACGTTAATAAATACACTCTTACTGAATGCTTTTGTCGTATATGCGCTCAAATATCGTACGCCCATATGTCACGCGTGCCCAAATGTCTGGTAATCGTCTTTGACGTATACAAACTTTGTCTAAATTTTCCAATAGAATCTGATACAGTTTAGCCTGCTAACTTTGTTGTGAAATATTTTTTCGTGGGAGCAAATATTTCTTGTTTTGTTTTTCTAGGTATATCGAGACTAATTGGCATTGATTCAAAATCAAGTAAATTGTACTATATACTAATAACTGGTGCTATTTTACCAGTTCCATTTTGGTTTTTAAGTAAAATTAAATATTTAAAGAGAATAAATTGTTTACAATATGTTCACATTCCCCTTATGTTTTCAATTGGTATGAATATACCACCTGCAGGTCCATATGTAACATGGTTTATTGTTTGTTTTCTATTTAATACTGTAATGAAATATTGGTTTTGGGAACGTTATGCATTGTTGTTTTCAATAGCAATGGATACAGGTATTCAAATTAGTACAAATTTTATATTTTTTGCTTTACAAAATCGACAAATTAAGTTCCCAGAATGGTGGGGAATGAGAGGAAATTACAGCGATGGTTGCCCAATAGCAAATGCCAGATACAATGGAACATTTCCTCATCAAAGCTTAACATAATAAAAGTAGATCGAATTTGCTTTATAAAGTGCAATATGTCGAAAAGTATACTATTTGTTTCCCATTCGAGTTAATACTTTTAACTCTCATGACTGTGTAGCCAGCGTCTGTTAAACGTATTATCTAGGTTTTTATCAAAGTTTATAGAAACATGGCTGCTACAACATCAAGTTTTATCCGGATAAAGATCTGATGAGCAGTTAAACGTTTTCCACATATATTGCAGCGCGAAAAGAAAATAATTAATGATTAAAAATGAAGAAAGCGTAATTAAAACTTGGTTTTGACATGAGCTCATTCGCAACGATGTTTGAGCCCAAATGTACGATATTACGAGCAATGCGCTATCAACAGAAGGAACAAGTAAACTAAACTCCATTCCAAAATAGAAAATCATTTAGCCTTCTATTTTCTCCTCGATTTTTCAGAAAAAACTTGTTCCGACTAGTTCTATTCTATAGGAAAGTTTATATATCATCCCAGTACCGGATGAATATCTGCATTGTTGATTAACTTTTTGTTGGAATTCTGCAATTTTAGAAAGTACAATTGCGTAAATTTTACATTCTGTTTTTGATTATATTTGTCATCATGTGTGTTCCGTTTAACATTAGTCATTTCAGGTAAAAAGTTTATTATCGGAAAAGAACAATGCTCGCTAGTTCGGGTTTCCACCATTCAAAAGAAGAAACTTTGGGACATTTTTGTAAAGTAAATCGACTCAAAAATGTTTTAGAAATAAGGTGCGTTTCCTAGAAGACCTTTGTAAAATCAGATCATAGCTCAAAAACTTCATATATGAGTAGTTTCGTTTTTAGGATCTATGGATAGCAAGATGTCTTCTTCAAAATGTTGTTGTTTACTAACAAAGTTAACAAAATACAAAAACCTTGGTGTAGCTGACCGCGTATGCCCTCTTCAAAATCGGAGTCGAAAGAGCCCTTGATTTTTGATGGTTTGGGCGTGGTATGGGATTTTCTTGGAGCGATGGAAGACACTTCCATTGGCTTAAAGTACTAGGGTCAATATTAGAGTTTCCAGGCTGTTTTCACCTAAGAATAAAAAAATCACAGCTCACTCGTGAAGCATCTAAACGAGTTGTGGAGTTCAGGATCGGTATACTGTTACCGGCTAAATGGATTATACGATCGAAAAATTGAGAAGTCATGTTTTTGATCAAACATGAAGCCTTCACGAAAACTGTAGGGATTTGTAATTATTCTCTTGACTGTACAGGAAAAGGTCTTCTGAAGTGAAAATGCCTGTATGTTTGTATGTATGTCCGTAGCCTAGATACTAGCGACACACAAATTATTAGCGGACAGATGGACACACTTACCTGTGGCCTAACACACGAGAGTAGTAAGCACATTGAGTTGTGTGCCCAGGGAAAACTTCTGAGAAACGAAGGGAAAATGAGGGTAAGTGTAGGGAAACTGGTAGTTTTTGTTGGAGCATCTATAGTAATAATGCCGCGAGACAAGCATTGGTGTAAAAAGTAGCTCCGATTACTTAATCGTAGATACGGTCTTTTTCTTTCGAAATCGGATAAGAAACCAGTTTTGGTGTTGCCGATCTAATCTAGTTATTGGTGTTCGAAATGAGAGGGATAGCGAGTAGTAAAGGAAGTCGCAGGGCTGCCGATGAAGACAGATGCGTGGTTCAAAACAGAGTAAAATTTCCGTTAGTAATTACGTGAGCTAGAGGAAGCATCCTATCTGTGAGATGTATAAAGAAAATAGCTCCAGCTCATGGCAAGTGGTTATTGAGGAAAAAATGCTTCGATCAGAAGAAAGTTCGGCCAGTTAGGGAATGCGCGTCGAAGCAAGCGCCAAAGGTGCTGAGTGAGACAAGCATTATGTAAATTGTTGAGTAATGGTTCTTGTTTTATCAAGCTCTTAGCTGCTTGCAGTGATTTCGATGGATTTCTCCTAGTCTGTTATGGTTTTCCTTAAGTTTCATTCAGAATCTCTACTTTCCTTTTGTTCGATTTTACACTTTTATTGGCTTCCTTGCGGTTTTCCTTACTTTCCCGCAGCTTTTTCGACTGTGCTTCGGAAGAATGTTTAAGAATTTTTAAAACTTTCAGTCAACAAATTCTCGACTAATCTAAATTAGATCAGGATCAGGTATCGCCAACTTTTTAGATCAATGGTGAAAAACCAGTAGATTGCACTTATATAAACGTCCACTCCTTCTCTCGTTATACATAGGAGAGATTTTTCACGAAATATGCAGCTTTTATCTGATTTTCAACGTGCTCCGATGCTTAACAATAATTCTTTTATACATAATTTTGTAGATTTATTAATTTCTATTCTATTAAAAGACATGTTTGTAGTTCAGATCTATTCAATAGAGAAAGCTACGTATTCTTTTAGATCTCGTAAATTTCTATCCATCAGTATATGAAATTTCGGTTTGTGATGGTGATGGTGACCTCATTTCATAGCGATAGTCTGCATGAAAAACACAGGAAGAACAAAATACCATGAGTAAAAATAGTAGTAAAAACAAAGCATCGATCAAGTCTTCTTGATCGAAATAAGTAAAGTAAAGTTATCGTTCTGTTTTTTAGCAGTGATCATAAGACTAAATATCAATAATTTATTTTAAATATTGATCATATTTCTATCTAAAACAATCTAAAACACGAAAAGACCTTGATAATGCGATAAATTCATTTTATTATAAAATATTTATGCGAAGGCAGAATGTGAATGTATGATATTATTGCTGTTTTAAATATAAAAGAACACAAAAACTAAAACTTCTATTATTCTTTATATTCATTTTATAAGAAAAAAGCTATTACATATAACAATGATGATTTATGTGTATTTTCTGTTTTTATTATTATGTGTACCGACAATGACTTTTGCTTCTATTGTACAATTATCATCATATGTTAATAGAACACATCAATATATGAATCCAATTATATCAGGTATTTTTTTTAGTCTTTAATTTTTATATAATCATGTAACTCTATTAAATTGATTAATATGCTGATCGAAAATGTTGAACTCATTTATAGTAAAACGTCTCTATTGTGAATACTATCAGGACTTTTCAGAAGCGTTCACTTAGAGGGATAATGCACGTTTTGCTGTGAAATGAAGAAAAAGATTTAGTCGGCTTCTACGCTAATCCTGAAGCTTCTATTGTGCATCTGTTTACCATCCTTATTAACATTAATTAATTCGAGTTTTTCTTTTAAAGTTAGCTCGTGTCGTGATGTCATTCCGTTTTTTTTCATACGTACAATAGTCAGTTTTAGTAAATAAGAAACAGATGATAGACAGTAGAGAGAGAGAGAAACATTGTAAGTGTGTTCATATCAGAAAGGTTATAATAGCAAGAGGGACAAGCAAAAAAATTGTTCAGAACAGGGAAATGTATTTCCCGCAAAAATCGCTCCGTCTGACGTGAGAGCGTTCATAATAAAGAGGTGTTCGCTTTGGAGAGGTGCTTACTAATAGAAGTTTTATTGTATGAACAATTTTTCGGATATTTTTCATTGATATCATACTCATACTAAAATTTTCAATAATTAAATAAATTGTTATCTAATATAGTAATGATTTTGTTCTTTTAAAGGTGATGATCAACATCTTCCATTGTATACTGGTTGTAAACCTGTTGAACTTGAATTAAACATTCAACGGTCTCAGTCACCAAATACAACAGATATGTACTGTGATGTAAATTCAAACGAGATATTTATTCCTAAAACATTAAAATTAACAGCTGAAATTCAAATTCAATATATTATTGAACAATATTTAGCAAATGATAATAATCATACCAATAATATAACAATAGAATTATGGCCAACATTAGGTGCATTTGGTTTTTATACATGGGTCTATGCACGATTAATACATAACGAAACCCACTGGATATGGATTGATTCATCTTTAATTGAATTACCAGAGAGTAATACAGTTGATGCACCATTAAATACATCACAATATCCTGAACCCTACTTTCCACATTTATATTTAACATCAAATGAAACCGATTATAATCTATTATTTAGTGATTTACTAGAATTTGATTCACTTTATGTTAAACCATTATTTGGTGATTGCTTATGGACAACAGATGAGTATGTATCAACACTTAAAGAAAAACAATTAACAAAGATTCATTCTGGATGGTTAAATGTTAACGATATGGGTCAATTTGGTAACAAAATACAACAATCAGGTCAACATAACATATGCGTTTTGTTACCCCAACCGGCACAAACAAATGGTAAACCATATACATTATTTGTTAATATAAACATAAATAATTCTAATAAAATCGAATGGCCAACAAATATTTATTGGTATACCGTATCTAGTCCAACATTGAATGAAATTAAAAATGCAGAACCAAAAACTAATGAATGGTATAATAATTTAAAATTTCCATTAAACTTTAATGATAGTTGGACAAAAGATATGTATCAATTAAGTGGTGCACATTTACTTGAATTTCCTCAAACAATTAATAAAAAACTGAATTTAACACGTAAATCATCTATACAATCTGATAATCAATTACACGATATTATTGATTATCTCATTGAAAGATATAAACAACTGAATATTAAAACAGAGAGACAAATATTTACATGGAGAAATATAACACAAGAAAATTTAATTGTTTATTTACCAGCTAGTGGTAATAGTTGTAATATTAAAATAAAAAATCAATCTATTGAACCAGTTATATTTATTGATCATATTGATACAGCATTTGAACAAGATACATTTGAAAATAGTAATTATACAAAACGACAAACAACTCAAGGAGCAGATGATAATGTTAGTGGATTAGTAGCTTTATTACAATCTGCTCAAATATTACAACAAACTCAATTGACAGCTTGTCGTGATATATGGTTAGTACATTTAACAGGTGAAGAATATCCAGCTGCTAGTTTAGGTATTATCTACTTTCTTGTTACATCATTATTGAAACCTAAACAACAAATTTATACAGCTGTTATTGTTGATATGATATCACATCGTGTTAATCATAGTGATCCAATTGTACAAGTAAATGCTGCAGATTCAAAACAATCATTATTAATAGCTGAATTAACTGTTAATCATATATTTCAAAAAATAAAAACACAATTATATACAGAGTTAAAACCAGAATTACGTCAATGGTCTAATCCATTTGCCTATCTATATAATACAGATGGTGTACGTTTTAATGAATATGGTTTTACATGTATATTAATTAATGAACATATTAATTATCATGAAAATTTTGAACGAGATGGTTATCATGATACACAAGATACAGTTAATTTAATTGATTTTAAATATGGACAAGCTGTGACACAATATGCTATTGCTACAGTTGCCGCCCTAGCACACTCCAATTGTGAATGTGATACGCAAAACAATGCAAATGTCTTAAAATTATCACTCAACATCCACAAATATATCATTATTACCTTCGCTCTTTATTTTGTAACGCAAATTGTATAGGATATAATTGATAACATGCGATTGTTCCACTATCGATTTATAAACAGTAGTATTATTTTAAATACACAAAACAATGTTGTTTGTGATATTTTTATTTTCCTCTAATATTTTCATACTTCTTTATTTCAATCTCCACCAATATATATTTACTTTTGAGAACGCTTATTCTTCATTAATCGCATTCAAAGATGAACCTGTGCAGATTATGATTGTCTGTTCAACAGACCTCTAGAACTTTTTTGCATAACAGAGAAAATAGATTTTTGTTTTTGATTTAATCAGCAGCTATCTGTGACAGAGGAAATGTGACTAGGGACTTTAATTTGCCTTGATTCATTTACAGGCAAATGTATTTAAAAAAGCTTTTTCATAATCAAACGACGAAAGAATATTGGAAAGGCGACACGCGAAAAATATATGCGTAACGAAGGTGTTTTATTTCATTGCTAAATTCAATCTCACCGTATGAATCAGTTAGTGTTCAAGTATCCAAAAATAACTAAGTAAAGGTGAAACAAGAAACGGCTGAATTTATGATCATAAAAAGAGCAGCCTTTTCAGCTCGACTATTATTTTATAATGTGGTTCCTCTATTGTTGAAGGAGTTTATCGTAATACTTTAGCATGGGTGCATGATGCTGTATTTTGTATTAATCGTACTCGGATAAGCAAATGTATTTAGTGTCGGAACGGACTTGAACTCAGCGCATTGTGACTCAAAATCGAGTCAGACTCGAGAAAGTGGTGACTCGTCCATCTCTGAACACATCCCAACGAGAAATCAGGTAAAATGTGGACAGTTGGATTCTAAATTTTCACAATCGATGTCAAGATTGAGATACAAAGTAAGATAACCATAATAATATTGTTCTTCTATCTTAGCTGCACATAAAATAAAATCTGTCTAACTACTATACTTGTTCATCTCTGAACACATCCCAAAGAGTGTGTACTGTGAATACTATCGGCGCCAAAATATAGTGTGGCTGACTGTTTTTTGAATAACTTTTTATAGAAATGAGACAGGACCTGCGATTTTCGCTATTCGATAGCCAAGACTTGAGCAGAACTTTTCGCAAGCGGAAACAACTTTTGAAAAAATTTCAAAGATTGGGTTTCCAGAGGATCTTTGAAAAACCAGCTCCTTTCTCAGAAAACTAACATACAATGTTAGTAACTTTTTTGCATGCGTAGATAGTTCGGACGTTACTCTACAAAATTATGCAAGTCCCGGCTCTCCAGCTATCTTCGTTCAGACAGAGCTCGCTTTCCCCGAGCATGTGTCTATCTCTGAGCATACGTCTCTGGGAATCTCGAAATGCCACGGACTATAGGTAATCGACTACGCTGAGCATCGTAGCAACATTTGCTGTTGTTGTGTAAAAATGAATATAACTTCGCCAGAGGCATTTTTGTGAAAAAACGGTTTTTCGCCTATTACTAGCAAAAATTAAAATCCTTATATCTCGATCAAATCGGTTTTCGATCAGTAGTTCTTAAAATATACTTTTGCATATGTCAATAGGCTCTTTTATTCCAGAGAATTATCATAGCGTTTTTTAAGCGAGAAAAGTAATTCCGGGTTTATTCAAACTGAAAGGGTTTATAACAAAACCTATAGGAGCTTTCACTCAAAGTAAAACACCTTTACGACTTTTTAATCCAGCACTGATACCCGTTTGACTTTTGAATAACATACATTTTTATCATTCGGAAGAGTGACCAAAGAAATCTTGCCGGCGATAAACACTTAAGCATTCTCGATAATTGTCAATAAATCTTTTCCATTCCGGAGCAAAAATGTAAATTTGGTTAGAATTTTCCGAAATACAGATTTTTTTCATAGTGCATAATTTCTTCAGACAAAATTAACATTAAAGTTTTGCCAAGGCAAATTTCCAGTTCGACTCATGAATTTTGATTACAAAAAATATTTTCAAATGTTCTCAATTCAATAATTTCCTACTTTTTCCACTATGTATGAGACATCATTCAAAATTAACAGTGTATCAATACTCACATCTGCGTCTGGTATTTTAACCGTATCTTCTACTTTTGTTTGCATTTTTCATTCTACTATGAATATCTATTTTGTGTTTAAATAAAATATCATCAGTGTTCGTTGTGTTCTGGAGATATTTTACAATAACTCACGCATGAAATTTCATAAAATATAAGCAAGCTACTCTTGCTGAAGAAGCGCCAGCTTCTCCATTGACTCTAACTAGATAAAAGAGTAAACTTTAGTGGGTGTGACTTAATGTTATATTGAAAAATCCTAACCTAGTTTATAAATCATGTTTGATTTTGCGATGATATGGTGTATTCTCATTCGTTCTAACTGACATTTGTGAAAGGATAAGAGATATTTATTGGAACGTCTGCATACGCTTTTGGTTTCAAACGTACCCTACGTCACTTACTACAAAAAAAGAACATAAATGTACTTCAAAAGTACTGTTACATACAATCGAAAGCCTGTTAATTAAGTTAAATCTTTTAAGAGAGAAGAATTAATTTAAGGGTATCGTGTTACTCTTGAAAAAGTAAAAATGAAGTCCAATTACAAGGCTTTGCGTACCTCAACAATATGTCTCATGTCTTCATTCAATTCATACTATTTTAATTGAAAAACAACTCTCTGCTGTACACAACGGACAAACATATGCTTTGAAAGTACTATGTTCATCATAAAACCATTAACGCTATTATTACTGTGTATTACGTATGTAGCATGTAGCAGTCTCAAAGCATGGCAAAACAACATCAGTGTTTCTATTAATAAAGGTAATTCGTGTTTTAACTGATGAACGATGGGAATTAAAACTTTCCAAATTACATTGGATACAGAGTGGACTTTTTCTAAAAGAAACAGCCTAAAGTACTGTCAAACAGGGTTTCCGATTAGGGTGGGGAAGTTGGGCACCTCCCCACGCTACATTTTGACATTGTCCGCCAGACTTTTGGAACTTTTGATCTGCCAAGAATTTGTCCAACCTTTTTGTGAGCACAACACATGTCACGATTACCTTGCGAGTATTTGATCTGATAAACTGTAAGAGATCGACAGCATTATCAACAGCTACGAACTACCTCTCAAAATAAGTGGCAGACAGTCTTTTAAATTCTCATTGTCCGAAATTAAATATTGTTTTCGTTGAAAAATAAATTCTGATGTGGAGTAACAAAAATTCATTTCGATGAACAACGATGTTTCACTTGTTTAGAAAAAAAACTGTCCGCCAAAAAAAAACTTTCCACCTTGATTAAAAACAATCGGAAATCTAGGACACTGTCAAAGACACACTCTTATCTGATACCTTATCAATAATTAGGAAACGCGAGGAAAAACTTTTTAGCATGTATCCTGTGATGGGCTGATGCCTAGAAAAAGCTAAATATATACCGATTTAGTAAATTATTATATCTATTTCAGCTATTCAGATCTATTCGAACGTTAATAACTTTTATAATGTAATAGTTCAAGACGGAGCTGATCCATGGGTATATAAACATACTAATGGATGGTATTATTTCACAAGGACAACTGGTGGAAATGTAGTCATTTGGCGGTCTCGTACACTAACTGGTATTGATGCTGGTGAAAGTAAAATAGTGTGGAGTACAAAAGGAGGTACAGCAGCATGTAGAGATGTATGGGCACCAGAAATACATTTCATTCAAAATAAATGGTACATCTATTTTGCTGCAAGACCGTGTGAAAACGACATGCATCGAATGTTTGTTCTAGAAAATGTTAATGGTGATCCTTTTAATGGTGATTTTTTGGAAAAAGGTCAAATAACTGATTGGACGAATAAATGGGCAATTGATGGAACAGTGTTACAAAACACTAATGGACAATTATATTTCATATGGTCTGGATGGGAAGGTGATCAAAATGTTCGTCAAATTTTATACATTGCTCATATGTCTAATCCATGGACGATAGATAGTGCAAGAGTTGAAATAGCTCGTCCAGTTCATGCGTGGGAAACAAATCATAGTCCCTATATTAACGAAGGTCCACAAGTAATCATTCGAAATAATCAAATTAATCTTGTTTATTCTGCATCTGGATCATGGACTAATGATTATTCTCTAGGTATAATAACAGCTAAAACAGACAGTGATCTTTTAAATCCATATTCATGGCGGAAACGTGATTATCCAATTTTTCAAAGTGCCAACGGTCTATTTGGTCCTGGACATCACAGTTTTACAAAATCGAAAGATGATCGACAAGACTGGATCGTTTATCATACAGCGAGATTTAGTGGTTCTGGGTGGACTAGAAACGTTCGTACACAGCCGTTTACATGGAATACAGATGACACACCTAATTTGGGTGCTCCACACGGTCCAAATACACTGTTAACATTGCCGTCTGGTGAACCAAATCGTGATCGGTATGAGGCAGAATCTGCTTCTCTAACAAATGGTCCATATTCACGTTTTGAAGTAACAGCTTCAAATGGACATAAAGTTGGTCATATTGATTTGGACAATAGTCTAGTTGAATTTTCTGTACAGACTGCCACCTCTGGTTGGTATATTATTATTGTCCGAACTGGAAATGGATCAAATGGTAATGCTTTAGCCAGTCATTATTTAACAATTAATCATAATGATCGAAGAGAAATATTTGTAGTTAATTCTGGTTGGAATAACTGGGGTACGTCGACAACACGTTTATGGTTAAATGCTGGCAGAAGTATATTAGGATTTACAAAAGGACTGAATTATGCTGAAATAGATGCTCTCGATATTTTTCTCGATCTTTAACATATTGTATCTCAAACAACTATTGCTCAAAAAAAAAATCTGTTGATTTATTAACTACCCTAGTCAGAAACCTATACATTTTTTGACAGGATCCTGGGGAAATCCGACCAGGATCCTGCCAGGATTTAGCTGGCTTTTTGATAGGATCCTAGGAAAATCTTACAGAATCCTAAAGAAATCAGGTATACCGGAAAGTTGTAGGATTTGCCAGGATTCTGTTAGGATCCTAGCAAGAAAATGCGATGACTGAATCATAATGTAGCAGGAGGGATTTTAGTAGGAAAAGATAATTCTTGAACAGGAATTTCATAGGATTGCTTATATGTTCCTATCTCTCGCGAAATTTCTCCATCCGTTCTCATTTAGAAGCGTTAACAAATGACGTTAACTCCTTTTTTTTGGACTCCCTAACCTCACCTTTGTAAACGCCCGTTGCTTAAGTTTTAATCTTTTCTCCGCGGCCAAAAGATTGAACTGCAGCTACTTCTGTATGCCAGTCTTTGCTCTTTTCCAGAGAGAGACAGAATACGCAAATGTGAAACAAATGTCAATAGAGATATGTCTTGGATATATGTATATCTCTATCTGAATGGAAGAAACCTAGTCATTTGCACCATCGTATTCAGCTAATCAGTCACTTCACTATCCCGACAGTAGTTCTTGGTCAAACCACGATATCATCAATTTCTATCGCCAAATTTGGTGATAGCCGGACATTGGAGGTAACACCAAAGAATGGAAGATCATAATGGAGCTCTTAGTTACTAAACGATTTTCAAACAACGGAGAACTATTTTCGGGCAATTTTTGTACAAAATACAGTCTGCTGTCGCGAGAAAGTAGTTTATACACTTTGGAAAACTTATTTTATACACAGCAAGCAAAGTCTAAAGAGGTCGAGATTCACGAGTTTTAGATTGGCCAAGTGCATTATCCACGTTTTATTGCTGCAGTAACTGCTGGATCGTCTGCAGTTTCATTTCAGTTTTTTGCAAAGACGATAGAAAAAGGAGGACGATCTTTCAATTCTTTTCGGTTTCAAGGTTTTAATTTCATTATGCTGAGAATCTTGCTCTTTTGTCATGATTTCGACGTGGACTTGAGCCCGGTCAGTTATTTCAATCCAGAACTAAACTTATAAGATACTTCTTTCCTTGGGGCAAGCGATATTTATAGGTATAAACGAGTGCCTCAGAAAAGGGTTACTCTCACCGACAAGCAGTCTGCAGATTTTAATTATGATGGCGGTAGTTGATCGGCTAATTAAACCTCTTGCACACATGAATTCTAATTGAACATTTTTAAAAGACATTTTCATCCTAATTCTAGTTTTGCGCCTGTTCAGTTTTAGAGAAGTTTGAAGGTACTACCAAAAATGAACATGCCTACTTTTTACTAACAATGAGCCACACATGTGAAAAACGGTTTAGTTAGTTTTTGTACACACTTGCTAATCTACTCTAGCTCAAAAGTTGTTTGTCAGAAGCAGGGCTGCAGAATCTACCCGTGTGCACGTACGAGTGTACGTGAAATACTTTTGGAAAATTTTCCAAACGGAAAAATGTGGAATGTTTTCTGTATTCGAAGCTTTAAGAAATGCAAATGTTTTTGGACTAAGTTAGAGAATATCTTTTCCTGATATAGAGTGCCAAATCTCTTCGTTAACTATCTATTTCGGATCTACACCAAATTTATAAGGTTGTTTGCAATTTCATCTCGAACATTGATAGATTTTTAGCATACTTGATGAGTGTTTACCATCTGATCTATCAATGCTTCTACTCACTACACTAAGTTGTTTCATCTATAGATTCACCATATAATTTGTAAAAGTTTAAAAAACAACCACAAGAAAACTTTTGATAATTTCAATGTCTGGAAATTTTTTCGAAGATATTTTATCATTCATGGAAAGTTTTCAAAAGTGTTTAACGTTTGGCATGTTATTCTGACAAAGTGCTCTTGATTATAAGCGAGAAAAAACGGGAGACGGTGCCTTTAAACAAAACTATCCGACATAAAGGTGCACTTAAGTGAGGCGAAGTTTGTAGCAGCTTTAGATATTTGAAATGACATGTTGTCTGCCAGAGGCAGGTACAGGAAAACGAAAATTACGTCTATGGAATTGTATGTGAAATGAACAGAGTTTTTTGGACAACATCCAGTAAGGACGGTCTTGAAAGTAGGTAGCCAACATTATTCTATAATTATGCAATAATTCGGTTAACTGATCAGAGGTTTTCCCTTTGATTGAAAGTTAGTTTCGGACCTGCATAGCGGTCTTCTTTAATCATATTGATGTCTTTTTTTAGATATGAACACAAAAAATTTTTGTTTTGTTTCAGAAACTGTTTTTGTTGACCAAACCGTGGGTGTGTGAGGTGATAGAACTAATGGTGGTCGAACCGTGGTATTTCCGGTAGTACCAGAACATTTCGCTCGTTCGTAATATGAGTAAACGGTCCTGTGAAAAGATCTATAGATAAAACGTAAAGGATCCAAAACAGAAGAGTTGATTAGCTCACTTTCAAAACGAGTGTAGCTTGGCGTTGACGAGAAAAATGATTGAGATGAATGCAATCTTGATTTAGGATTTACTTCGAGCTGAGTCAATGTTTTAGCTACTGTTGTCAAATCTGGAGTATTTGTAAGATCAATAAATGGCTCTAAACATGAGAGAAAGTACACAATGCAAAGACATTACATTTGTCTAATAGCCGTCTGAAGCCTTACGTTTCATTGTTTCCGCTGAAATGGAATTTGTGACAGGCTGTAACGATGGCAATGTTTCTCTAAGTCTAATCATTCCAACTGTTGCATCAATAACATTCGAAGCTGATTCAGAAACGACTGCTGTTTGTGATTTGGCAGTTAAAATTGAATTAAATTTTTTACAGACAGAGTGTTTAAAAAACTCTCAAACTACCATAGAGGATGTCCAGATTGTCTGGTCAGATACCTGTAAGTAAAAAAGCCCTTGCCTGTTTTCCTGGTCAGGTCCTGTTTTTCTCCTGATCAGTGAAAGAAATCAAGACCACGAGTAAGTTGTATATATGTAAAAATTAGGTGTGCTAATCGCTCATACTATGCAAAAATCAGTAGAAACCCAAAAAGTAAACATCAGACTCGAAATGTCCTTAAATATCTCTTGTTTAGCACAGAAATCTCTAAGACATTACTCATAACCTATAATAATAACTTTGAAATTTTTCGAAGAATTAGTGGTCACTATATACTGGGTGACTTAGCAAAATAAAACGGTGATTATGAAAAAAAACCTAGCTCTGGACTTGAACCTGACCAGTGTCTGTTTCTCAGAAAATACCAAGATCAGACAAAAGAAATCAACACCACACAAGAAGAGTCAAGACCAGACCAAGATTTACTGTTTGTCTGATCAGTAAAAAAACAGGAAACAGTCACCTGTAAGTAAATAAGTCCTCACTCTGTTTTCAAGACTAGGGGTGGCACATTACTGTTACTTTTACGAGTAATCCAAATATTGTATATATTCCTGTTACCAGTAACAGTAACACATTTCAGTTTTACTGTTGCTGGTGATAAGAATGTTCATAAAATTTGTACCAGCACCAGTAAAACTGAAAAGTATTACTGTTATTGGTAACAGGAATATATACAATATTTGGATTACTCGTAAAAGTAACAGTAATGTGCCACCCCTGTTCAAGACCAGACAAACTGGACATTCTCTTGGTATGGCATATATCCAATTTTGACTGATTTGATTTTTACAACATGAAGTAGGTTAGTTAACATTCTGATGCCTCGATCAAACTAACTACGGTAGTTAAAAGAAAAGGAAGAGAGCTGTAAAGACTCCCGCTCGTCACAAATTTATATTACATAACCATTACTTGTGCGTGAAAAACGTGTACAACTATGAAGTTTCACATCGCCTCATCTTCTTCTAGACAATGTCCTAAGTGAGATTAGCACTTAGAAGAATCACCGCACACGGACAATAGAATGGAGAAAAGAAATGACCGAAGCGAAACGATTGTTCTCTTTCTTTCTTTCTTATTGTGAATATATTTTACCAGTGTTTCGTTATATTCGAAGTCGTTTCGTCCCATCACTACTAGTAACAGAAGACAACAGTGGAGTCCATGTGCCTAACAAGGATGATTAATTAATAGTGTATCTTCTTAAACGTCAAAGTCAGTATGAGTAAGTAACTTACTCAGAAATAAACTCATTGTAACTCTTTTATATTCTACTTGACAACTTTTAACTCTTTAAGAAAAAATTAAGCATATACTTTTAAGATTATGAAATATGAGTTTGTTTGCTTAACATCGGATCATAAAGAAAAGCAAAGGTATCAAAAAATGTTGCAAATGTTTAGGGTGACAATAGGATCCGTTCTTACTGGGAGCAAAATTTTGTTTGCCGCTCTTAATCACAGTGTACCTATTAAGAACGGATATAGGATAATTAATATCTGCATAACAGAAACAAAAGTTAGCTCTGAAACTTTGGAAATAAATAGAGCCAAGTGAATAGAGTACAGTTTGTGCCCAAGCTTTTTTCCATCCAGTATGCTGGGTACAAAAATCGAATGTTTTTCCGATTTGTTCGTTTCTGTCACGTATTTGTTTTCGAAAAAAAGGAAATTTTTTTTCTTTTCTATTTTGTGTTTTTTGTGAAGTGAATCTATATGAATAAATTTAGATCAGATGACAATGATTATGCAAAATTATTACAAGAGCTAATGGTACGACTCCTATATAAAACTGTCGGCTTCAAGCGCCTTATTTGAGTATTTTATTTCAAAGATAGAATACAGAAAAGATCCCTAGCGTTAAAAGGTCTCTATCATTTTTTTTGGTCGTCTAAGATGTGGGCTTTTATAATTGAAAGAGGACTAGCAATAAGGATGAGCGGTAACGACAAAAGCGTCTTACCGTTACCTATGCTTCTTTTTACCGCGGTAATTTGAGGCCAGTAAAAAATCTCAAACTTTTACCGTGGTAAACTTC